GTCGACGATACGGCAGAATCGTTTGACTTAGTTCAATGGTGGAGGGCACGGGCATTAACTTGGCCAATCCTAACTCGATTGGCAATGGATATATTTTCGATCCCAGTCTCCACTATTTCATTCGAACAAGCCTTCAGCACGACAGGAAGAATACTTGAGGGACACCGGAATGCATTGCAAAGGGATATTGTTGAAGCCTTGATTTGCATTAAGGATTGGGATCGGGCCGATCAACGTCTACAAGATACAATTTCGCCGGCAAGCCAAGAATGGATCGATGGATTTAATCGATTAACATTTAATTTTGAAGACGATCCTTCAGCTTCAAATTAAATTGTAAATTTATAATTTGTAAATGTATTTACTTTTGACATTGTAATTTCTAATTGTATAACTTTGTATGTTTATAAAATTTGTAATTCGTCAAAAAATGATTGCACTCTTTTTTCCTTGCCAAGTTTTTATCCTAATTGAGTTTTTCTTGGTAAGGTTTTTAACGAGGCAATCATGAATTACGAATTTAATATACATAATTAATATACATGATTAATTTATTCAATTGTGTAAATAATGTCTATTGAATGTTGATTTTGATTTTTATATAATTTCAACACAAACTAACCTAATAATTATAAAAATTAAAAAATATTAAAAAAATTTCGGACTATTCGGGCGGGCTCAGGCGGCCCGGCCGGGTTCGGGTAGCCAAATATAAACCTGCGGCCCGTTCAAGGGCATTTTCGAGCTCAGGCGTGTCGGGCTCAGGCTCGGGCAAAAACTTGGTATTTTTGGGCGGTCGCGGGCGGCCCGTCCAAAATTCCAGCACTACTTCTGATTATGAAATTATTTTGCAAAAACCAACAAAAATAATTAAAAAACAATTGCAGTAACAAAATGAAACAATTCCCCTCCCGAACCCAAAAAAATTAACTCAAACCAAAATAAAAAAAAAAAACCCCAGAAAACTTTCCTTGTCCTCCACGTCTACCCCGACAACGACGAAGCTCCCACTCCCACCCTCCTCCTAACGGCAACAATCCTCTCCCCCTACGGCAACCAAGCTCACTCCAACAACATGCATATGAGCAAATCGCTATAACAACAAGAGCAATGTCACATTTTCCAATGACAAGAAATCTCGCCGCCGTCCCTGCGAGCTTGTGTCATCAAGCAATACGTATTTCTCCATTGGAGTAGGCTAAAAAAAACTATGTTTTTTAGTTGTTTTTCATCTTAGTTGAGTTTAAAACTATAAATAAGTGCCAAAGTCAACAGTTTCCTTAGTTTTATAGACAAAGTTAGACATAAAAGGCATTTTGAATGCTTTCTTACATGTTAAGAGGTGTTTCGAATGGTTTTAAACAGCTAAGAATATTTTGAAACAACGTACATAGAATTTATAAAATTAATCTTAAAACATGTATTTTATTAAGTCAGTAAAAAAGTAAGTTTACGTGGCACAAACTTTATATTATGGGTGGTATTAATGTAAAGGTAGAAAAAAGGGGTGGTTGTTGGTCCCCACCTCAACTAAGGGGCCCACAATGACCGATCGATGGCCTTGACATTAAGGACATGTTTACTTATTTGTAATCGGAGTGGACATGATTTGGAGTGGGTAGGAATCGGAGTTAAAATAAGTTGTTTACTTAGGTTCCAGGAATCAAAATCGGAATCAATCCCAATCCTATTCATACGTTTACTTACGCTCAGAATCGGAATAAACTGTTATAAATTTACTTACCTACCCTTTAGTAGATTTTTGTGTGTTGAACTTTAAAAAAAAAATTGTATATTATGCTAACTATCTTAATATTAGAATAACTAACTAGTAATTCGATTTTTTTAATCACACCTAATTAATCATCTAAGTTATTTTTCTCAATAAATTTTAACTCAATTTCAAGAAAAGAATATGATGGTAATAAAATAAGAACAAAATAACTAAGTTTTAAGTCATAAACTTTCAAAAAGAAGTTCCAAGTCATAAATCGAAAAATATATCCTAAGCATAATAAGTACTAACATAATTTAAGTAAACTAATAATTGGCTAATCTAACACTTAAACCCCACGACTAAGAATTTTGAGGATGTATCCCCTCTTGAGTTGATCCGGAATGTTGTAGAATACACGTAGCAAATCATGCTTTGTTGCTAAAATATTGGTGGCATCATGAACTTGATCATCATCTAAGCCATCAATTTTCAACATTTCTTGATACAAGAAAACCGGTCCCATTACTATAGCCAGCATCTACCAAGTAGTAATAACCTATCAACCACTATAAAAAGTAACAATATTAAACAATGAGCAAATAGATAATATACAAACAATATAATGTCATTAAAAAAATTTTAGTGTTGTTGTATAAAATTACCGTTAGGAACCTTTAAACCATTTCTTCTAGTCACTATGTCCCTTAACACACGCATATCGTGCATTGAACCTTCCCATCCCGGTAGGACATATATAAATTGCATGTCTTGTGAACAAACTCCTAAGACATTAGTAGCAATCTCATTTTTCCTTGTTTTATATCTTGATTTTTCTGCCTCTAGCACACGAACTCTTACATACGTTCCATCCAATGCTCCCAAACAATTCTACATTATTATGAAAAAGAAGCATAAAATTTTAAGAACACAAATATAATTTAAAAACAAATTTTTTCAAAAAAAAAAAAAAAAAAGAGAACACATACCTTAAACCACTTCCATTTAGGGTCAGTTGAGTTCTCCAAAACTGGTTCTGGGTTTTTCCAAAATTCTTTTTGACACCGAATAATTGCTTTTAAACACTCGTGGAAACATTTACTAATCGTTCTTCTGGATCTCTTAAAATTGAAACTAATCACCCTGTTCTTAACATGATGAGCTAGGATGTGCAAAAACATTGCAAGCATCTCCTCAACAGATACATTTCTTGTGCTTGTCAAATCTCTTTTCTCACATAGAAGCTTGCATAATCTTCTAAATGTTTCTTTATCCATTCTTAATTGTGCCACACACTTGATATCACTTTCGTAAACCAAATCATACAAGTGACCTAATTGTTTATATACCCTTACAACCATCTTTGGACTTCGTATCCTTCATTCATAATAAATAGAAACAAAGGTACACATAGCAGCACACACAACCATAATCATTTGTAACATCATAACTATCTCTTTTATCACTACAACTACTATCTTCTCTCGTACTAAAAGTCTAGACATGATTACTCTATATTATCAACATATAAAATTAGATTTAGTATCACATTGTATATTATAAAAATGAACAACAATAGGCATAACACAAGAATCAAATTATAAGAAAAAAAGGAAAAAAAAACTAGAGTGCTAGAATCACGAGAAATAAAGAGGGATATAAATTATTGATAGTTTCAGTTTTCTAATCTTATAGTAGAAATTCTTAAAATAAAACAGATATAAGAGTTTAAAGAAATAAAGAGGGATAAAAAAACTAGAAGCATTACTACGTGTTCTAGTACTCTAGTTTTTGCTATTCTAGTACTCTAGAAGGAAAAAAAGCTAGAAGACAAAAATAGAGGATGAAAAGCTAGTACGTAGTTTTGTTATTCTAGTACTCTAGAAGGAAAAAAAACTGAAAAGCTAGAAGCATTATCAACGTGGAAAGGAACAGCAAAACTACGTCTTCAACAACAACAACAACAACAACAACAAAAAAGCAAAACGAAAACAAAAATAGAGGATGATTTATGGCTTACTTGCAAATTGAAGAATCGCGGCAGAAGAGGGGAAGAGGGGATGGTAAATGGCTGAGAGACAAAGGGAGAAATAAACCCTAGAGAGTTAAATAAAGGAGAAAAATTAAGGGTAAATTCGTAATTTTGTATTTAATATCAGGATTAGGAGTGGCAATCCGGTGGGGGGTGGAGGGAGTGCCAATCCCATTCCTTAATCCCAAATTGGTGTGGGGCCCACACATTCTCACTCTCATTCCAGGATATAAATGGATAAGTAAACATAGATGGCATGTTTAATACCAGGATTGAAGAATGGGAGTGGGAAATGAGAGTCAATCTCATGTTTACTTGCTCTTTTTTATCCTGGAATGGGAGTGAGATTGGTGAGCCCCACTCAAATTTGGGATTGAGGTATGGTATTGGCACTCCTATGCCCCCCCTTGGGATTGAGACTCTCATTCCTGATATTAATATTAATTTACTATCATACCATTATTTTATTTATAAATACACAATTAAAAATAAAATTTAAAAAATAATAAATGCAACATATATTTATTATTTTATTTGCCTAATATTATAATATTAGCATAATTATTGTTAACTTTAATATAATAAATATGTACTTTATTTTTTAATAAATTAATAATATTTTTTTATTTTTTAACACTATTTTTTATTTTTATTTATTTTATTTAAATTTATTTAAATTTATTTAAATTTTATTTTTATATTTTAAATAGTTGTAAAATTTATATTTATTATTTTAGTACCCAATTATTACACTAAATATTTTAATTATGATTAATTTTAATATAATAAGTACACAATATATTTTTTAAATTGAAAATATCAAATTGATTTAAAGGGTATATTAGTACTTTTATACTTTTTTATTCCGATTCTGAGTGTAAGTAAACGTATGAATGAGATTTAGAATGACTCTGATTCCGAATCCTATCACTAAGTAAACAGCTTATTCTGACTCCGATTCCTCACTCCTAATCCTACTCACTTCGAATCCTGCCCACTCTGATTCATGTTCATTCTAATTATGTGTAGGTAAACATACTAAGAGTTGATTCTGAATCTCAATTCTCATTTTCTACTCCTGATAAGTAAACATGCCCTAACGGTTACAGTTTCCCTTTGTGGGTCCCTTTCTTTATGTTGACGTTGCCGCTTCATCAAGCAACCTCCCCGCCACATCAACGGTCACAAACCACCCCAACCGCAACCCCAAAACCTTCCCATCACCGTCCAATCACGAATTGCTCAATTCCCCATTAGAATTCTCTCCTACGAAACATCACCATCGTCGTCCTTGCCATCCCCCGACCCGAAACGCCAAGAAGAAAAACCGAAACGCGATACGAAAAAAAAAAAAAAAACACAATTTTTCAATTTCGCGGCATCAGAAGATCAGAGAGACCAATCAACAGCTCAATGTTCGCCAAAATTTTCCAGAAATCCAAACAACAACAGGAAAATTCTCCTCCTCAGGTAAGCGATCGCTTTTGATTATCTCTGTTTATCAACATCTGAAATATCTTCTCCGTTGATTCTTCGTATCTACGATGAACTCGCTATGAAATCGGAGCAGAATTTGTATAGATATACGTAATTGCTCGTGTCTTTAGTAGTTTACTGAATTTCATTTCGAAATAAAGTTCGTTGGACAGAACAATGTGCCCGAGAGAAGTTTAACACCAGCGGATTTTAATCCGCGAATTGCTCTTCACTATGGGATTCCATCTACGGCGTCCATTCTCGCGTTCGACGCAATCCAACAGCTGATTGCAGTAGGAACTCTGTAAGTCAACATATAGGAATTGAATTATGGCAGCTTTGTTAGTATTTTTATTTCTATCTGAATTTTTAGAATATTATTACATATTACAATTATCTGTAAAAGAAAGATCCAATTTTTACCTGAATAGAGCACGTCTCAATCAAGGTAATATGGGGAGGGAGAGAATTTTATAGTAACCCGAATTTATTATTTTTTATTGAAATTTGCAGGGATGGTAGAATAAAAATAATTGGTGGTGATAATATTGAAGGGCTTCTTGTATCTCCTAAGCAATTACCCTTTAAATATCTAGAGGTTTGTACGAGTTTTATTTTAATATAATTATTAGTTTGTATATGTTGCTGTTTTCTTTCCCTCACATTGGAAGTTTTGGAACTCTAAAATACGCTTTATGCTGAAATGAGATTATATTCTGAGAAAGCTAGTTTCTGTATTTTACTTGGTTTTTCTTGAAATTCATTTATTGATTTCTTCTGTATATTTTTGCAGTTCTTACAAAATCATGGTTTTCTAGCCTGTGTCTCAAGAGATAATGAAATTCAGGTATCTAGTGCTCAATATGAACGCCATTATTATCCATACATGGTTCCTTGTTATCTTAATCCTTCTTCGCTTTCTCTTTTATACTCTCCTTCCCCACTTAAAAGAGATTCTTCACTAACAATGCTGATCACTTTAGTAGGTTAATCACATTGGCAGGTTTGGGATTTGGAAAACAGGGTAATAGCTTCAACTTTGCAGTGGGGATGCAATATAACTGCCTTCTCTGTCGTTTATGGCACAAGCTACATGTATAATACTTGCATAGCTGTTTATTGGACTATAACCTATTTGGAATTTGACAATAGAAACGACCAATGAATCCTGATAAATGACTTGAAGCATTTTCACACTCTCATTACATTCAGGTATATTGGAAGCGAGCATGGGGATGTATCTGTGTTAAAGTACGATGCTGAAGACAGAAAAATTACTCGGCTTCCATATTATGTTCCTGCAAATATCATAGCTGGTACCATATATCTTTACTTGTAGCTGCTTGATAACTAATCTGTGAAGTGGTCACTAGTATTATTATATAGCAAATAAACTATATATTTTAATATTTTATCCTTCTGGTTGATTCAAGTACATATAAGGTAAAGATACCATTTTTCTTCCCTGCACATACACACACATATTAATGACACTTGTGTTAATTCCGTAATTTTGATGTCTAAAGTCGAAGTTTTCATCAAATTTTGCAGATGCAGCTGGTGTGTCCTTGCCTGATCATCTTCCCGTTGCTGCGGTTCTCCATCAACCTTGTTCTCAGGGAAACAGGCAAGATACGATCTTCCTAAATCTACCGCACCTACTATGATTAGTTTCGGTTTTGCATCCAAAATATATAAGTTGGTTTTCAAAGATTTTTCTATGCCCAACTTCGTCGTCTTTTAAGAATTCTTTTCTTCTTGAGAAATACAGATACCACCCATTGCTTTATATTTGAGTTATTTGGATTTGTGTTCTTTTAGGCCATGAACTTCAATAGCTTTTGATTTATTCAGAAATCAGAACTTACACCTTTTGCCAAAATCCATGTTTACTGTTAGACTGAATCCTCTATTGAAAATGTTTAATGAAGAACTCATAATTGTATGGGTACTCGCATCGAGTCTTCCTTTGTGACTAAAAACATATTACGATTATTAATATATGCAAATGACTGTTGCAAACCAATTTCACAACTTCCAAGTTCCAAGCATAGAATATTGCTTTCTATTTAAGTAAACAGATATATGGTCTTTCTCTTTCCC